AACCTGCAACCTGTCTGTCTTCAGTCCTGATAGCACAGGGGTTTAACCCACTGCGCCACTGGGGGCTCCAGTAAATGTCTAATTTTAATGCCTATTTTATGTACCTATATACCTGGGGTCATGTAAAAAAAAAATCAGATGGAAAGGAACCATAAGGGCAAAAGGTTCAAGAAGCCCTGCTCTAGAGGAAGGGAAAAGAAGACAGTGTTAGCATCCCAACATCCTTTTAAAATAAGGAATTCCATCCCATTCACCCAAAATTGATACAATAATAATAATGTTATATTATCATAGTTATATTATTGTTATGTTATTATTTTATTTATCTGTCTCTCCTCATGACTCGAGGTGGGGTATGACACAGTCAAAACACATCAACATAAAATACACACAACAAAATACAAATATCAAAACACATACACCAAAACACAAGGCTCCATGGTGGTGCAATGGGTTAAACCCTTGTGCCAGCTGAACTGCTGACCTGAAGTTCGGTTCGAATCCAGAGAGAGCGGTGAGCTCCTGTTTGTCAGCTCCAGCTTCTCATGCAGGGACATGAGAGAAGCCTCCCACAGGAGAGTAAAATATCCAAACATCCCCTGGGCAACATCCCTGCAGACAGCCAATTCTCTCACACCAGAAGCAACTTATAGATTCTCAAATTGCTTCTGACACGATTTTAATTTTTTGCTTATTTATGTATTTACTAGCCATCCCCTGCCACACGTTGTTGTGGCCCAGTCTGTGTATATGTGTTTTGTGTGTGTATATATATATGTGTGCATATATTTGTGTATATGTGTGTTTGCGTATATATATATGTGTGGTTTTGTGCATGAGTTGTAATGTTTTTTTTTTGTTTTTTCGCTTTTTAAGTCCCTTCTTTTGTGTTTTTCAGTGTTTTTATGAGTGATGGTCACTTGTTGGCCTGATAGGTGTATTGTGTCCAAATTTGGTGTCAATTCATCCAATGGTTTTTGAGCTATGTTAATCCCACAAACAAATTTTACATTTGTATTTATTTATGTATCTTGTATCCAGCCCTTTTCACCCTGAAGGTGACTCAGAGCCGCCTCACAACCGGCAGCAATTCGATGCCCAACAAACAAATTCCAAAAATAACAATTACAATTAAAACAGCAATAAAACATAGATTATTAAAACAACAATTAAAATCACGCTAATTCCAAAACACATGGTACATACATGACACACTCACCTGCACAGTGTCCCAAATCTGGTATGCAAGGTAGTCTGGGCTCACGCTTTCGGGATAACCTTGGGGTAGGAAAACTGCCTGCAGAAACGAGAACCCAACCAACATCACAGAAGTCCTGCCAAATTAAATCATTTCTACTAATAGGAGAGCTTAGGATGAGACTTTAATTGATAATAATGCTGCCAGTCGGCTGCCCCTTGAGAAACCTCATCGAATCATCCTGTGCTTCAGTTTCTGAATGAGCCTTAAGGGAAGGCATTAAAGCAAGCCAGGCTTGAGAACCACAAAAACAGCAATGTAAAAAGTATAGATGATGACAAATGGATAAATAAAATAAGAATGTAAAAGGAACAACTTTAAAATGGACTCACTGTGAAGAAATCCCGTATGGAACGATAGCCTCCACCTTCTGGTGTATCCAAGACACAACTCAATCTCCCATCGGGCAAGGATTTGTAGTGATGGGTTTTGCGGGAGCCATAGCTTTCTGTGCAAACGACTTGTCCCTGTAAGTCGGTCATGTCTGAAGCAGGACGGAACTACAAAAGACACAAACAGGAATTGACTGTTATCTTTGCCATTAAGAAACCTTATTTGGTGGGATAGGCGCCCCCGGTGGCGCAGTGGGTTAAACCCCTGTGCTGGCAGGACTGAAGACCGACAGGTCGCAGGTTCAAATCCGGGGAGAGGCGGTTGAGCTCCCTCTATCATCTCCAGCTCCTCATGCGGGGACATGAGAGAAGCCTCCCACAAGGATGATAAAACATCAAAAATCATCCGGGCGTCCCTTGGGCAACGTCCTTGCAGACGGCCAATTCTCTCACAACAGGTTTGTGCCAGAGTCTTTGCAATTCAATCTTTAAATCCTCATATCATGTCAGCTTTTCCAGTTGTTTCTCTTCAATTCTGCTATCACCTGGGATTACAACATTGAGGATCCAAACTTGGTTTTTTAACAAGATCAGACTGACAGTGTTTTGGAGCACAATACTCCTGACCTCACGATCGTGGAAAGAAAGAAACTATGGATCATTGATGTTGCAGTCCCAGGTGACAGTAGAACTGATGAGACGACACCAAATTGGGAGGGATAGCCAATAGTCCAGAGGACAGGAGCAGAATTCAAAATGATCTTGACAGATTAGAGAGATGATGGGCCAAAACTAACAAAATGAAGTTCAACGGGGACAAATGCAAGATACTCCCCTTAGGCAGAAAATACAAAATGCAAAGATACAGAATGGTGGACAATGCCTGGCTCGAGTGCAGTACGTGTGAAAAAGATCTTGGAAACT